GTCGAGGCTGCAGTGAGCTGTGATCATGCCACTGCACTCCAGCCTGGGTAACAGAGTGAGATGGTGAAGAAAAAGGAAGGAAGGAAGGAAGGGAGGAAGGGAGGAAGGGAGGGAGGGAGGGGAAAGGAAGAAAGAGAAAGAAAGGAAGGAAGGAGGAAAAGGAAAAGAAAGGAAGGAAGGAGGAAGGGGAAAAGAGAAGAGAGGAAGGAGGAAAAGGAAAAGAGAAGAGAGGAAGGAAGAAAGGAAGGAAGGAAGGAGAGAGAAGAGAAAGAAAAGAAAAAAGAGAAAAGAAAAGAAAGGGAGGGAGGAAGGAAGGGATCCACATTGTTGTGTTCTGTAGCTCATTTTAGCGTAAACATTACAACTTTAGCTCTCCTTGTGATGTAACATTAATGTAAACATTAAACTGTTACAAACTTTAGCTTTCCTAGAAAGTAAATGCTTTATTGCTATCCTCCCTCAATTCCAACTTCCTTTTTGCCTGACTTCCAACTCCATCTAGATTTGGACTTCAAACCCTCCTCTACGGAGTCATCTCAGACTAAGAAGAAAAGAGGGGAGGCATAGTACTGTTAAAAGGAGTATGGAATTTGAAGTAAAACAGACCTAGAGTAAAAAATGAATGAGGCAATAGGAATCAATGAGGCCCAGATGCTCAATTCAAGGACCTTTCAGTCCCATCAGGGAGATCAGTTCTGTACATACATAATTAGGATACAAAAGAGATGAATGTTAAGTGACAGAGGAGGTTCAGGTAGAATGTTAGAATTTAGAGGAAGGAGACATGTCCCCCAGCTAAGGAGAAGGAAAAGATACAATGGAACAAGTGGCATTTGAGACCTGGCTTTGAATGATAAATTCTGCTTCATTTGATCCTCTAGTTTCTAAGTGTGGGATGTAGTGTAAACATAGAGGGCATTTTTTGTTTCCATTCACATCTTAAAGGATGCATAGACTATTTGGAACCTAGACTGCTTTGCCCATGTTTTCTTAAATTTTACAAGTTGACGCATCCCTTAAACAGCTGTTTTCTCCTCTACTTTAGTATTCATTTTATAAAGACCAAGAATATCTCATCTTCAATATGCATATTGCTGAGAAATATAAAAGTAAAGATTCCTCTAATTTATTTAAGGAACACTTTCCTTTCCCTAAGGAGACATGTGCATAATTAAATGAATGGTTTCAGCTGACCCCTCTTCATGTGAGAATCTCTGTCATCTGAGACTAGAGGTGGTGGCCATTTGCAGGGTTACTAACGGAGCCTGTGGGTTTGTTCTACAGTCTAATGTGCTGCAGTCACAAACATTGGCTTTTTTTTTTTTTTTTTTTTTTTTTTTTTTTTTTTTTTTTTGAGATAAAGTCTCTCTCTGTTGCCCAGGCTGGAGTGCAGTGGCATGATACCGGCTCACTGCAACCTCTGCCTCCCGGGTTCAAGCGATTCTCCTGCCTCAGCCTCCTGAGTATCTGGGGTTATAGGCACCCACCACCACACCTGGTTAATTTTTTTGTATTTTTAGTAGAGACAGGGTTTCACCATCTTGGTCACTTGAACTCTTGACTTCGTGATCCGCCTGCCTCAGCCTCCCAAAGTGCTGGGATTATAGGCATGAGCCACCACACCTGGCCCAACATTGACTATTTCAAAGCTCCACTTGGCCACCATAACCTCGCCAGGCCTTCTTCAGGGGCTCCCACAGCTTGCAGAACTAGACACACTAAGGAATTTGGACATTACAAGTTTTCCATAAATATTGAATTTTAATTCATTTGTTCAGAATTTATGTTTCTAAAACTTACATTACCACTGTCAAAAATGCTGAAAATCTGTATGTTTTCAAGATGTATTAACTTGGGTATGTTTATTTTACATGGTAACTCCTTGATTATCCAAAATTCACTGAGAAGAGGATGTTCTATCTAATGCAATTTTGTGGTTTAAAAAATGCTAAGACATGTTTTTAAAAATCCATGGTCTATTAACAATAATTTTTTGAAAGATTGTGAGTCTTATCTTCTGTAAGATCAGTTGTCAGCACTCAATACTGAAAAGGAAGAATGAGAGAAAAATGAGAGCATCATTTATTGAGGGCCTAGCATGACCCTTTCCCAGCTTTGACTCTTGGATCTACCTTTTGCTACCTGGAGTTGTTTAGCAAGTTTTTTAAAATGTATCATTATCCTCATTTATGAATTGGGATCATGGTGGTACATACCCGTAGCAGGTTATTAGGAAGACTATATGAGATAGTGCAAGAATAAAGAGTCTGCTTCAACAAAAAGCTAGAAACAGTTCTGTCAAATTCACATGGAAACAGAGAAAGAAAGAAAAAGCCAGGCATAGTGGCTCACGCCTGTAATCCCAGCACTCTGGGAGGCTGAGGTGGGTGAATCACTTGAGGTCAGGAGTTTGAGACCAGCCTGGCCAACATGGTGAAACCCTGTCTCTACTAAAAATACAAAAATTAGCTGGGCGTGGTGGTGGGCACCTGTAATCCTAGCTACTCAGGAGGCTGAGGCAGGAGAATCACTTGAACCTAGGAGGCAGAAGTTGCAGTGAGCCGAGATCATGCCACTGCACTCTAGCCTGGGTGACAGAGCGAGACTCCATCTCAAAAAAAAAAGAAAATAAAATAGTAAATTATATATAAAAGCTAGAAACAAAAGTTAACTGTACCTGGTGTTATGCAAATAGATATTTTACATATTAACTCATTAATCTTTTAAAGCAACTTTATAGGGTAGTATTTTTAATCTGGTATTTTATCTGCACTTTAAAAACAAGTTAAGTTACAGGTTGAGCATCCCAAATTTGAAGTTAGAAATGCTCCAAAGTCTGAAACTTGTTGAGCACTAACATGATGCTCCAAAGATATGCCCATTGAAACATTCTGGATTTCAGATTTTTCATTTTGGTTTTGGGATACTCAGCTGGTAAGTATAATTCAAACATTCCAAAATCTGAAAACATTTGAAGTCCAAAACATTTCCAAGCGTTTTGCACAAGGGATACTTAACCTGTACTCAGGTTTGAAAGCAACTTGCCCCAAGTCATGTAATTGTAAGTGGCAAAGTTGAGATTTGAACCCAAATCTGCCCAATTCTAAAGTCCATGCTGCTTGTTTTCTTTAATTTTTTTTTCTTCTTTTAGGTGTTTCTCACAGTCTCCCCTTACTTTATGTTTAAATATGCAATTGTATGTGATAGTTCTTCTCTAATGAAACAGCATAGAAATAATTAGTGCAAAATTACCTATTCCCCAATTCCACTCCCCAGAAGTAAGCAATCACTCACACACACACACACACACACACACACACACACAGAGTATGTTTTTTTTTTCTGAAAAGATTATCTTAATTTACATTCACTCAGTGGTGTATAAAAATTCCTCTCTCCCTGACATTACCAATATTGAATGTTCTTTCCCTATTTTGTTGTCCATTTGATAGTTGAAAGATTGCTCTCTTTGCTTTAATTGCATCAAATTATGAGTGAGATTGAATGTCTCAAAATCAAAACTATTTTCCCTATAAACTATTTCAGCCAAATTTGTAGTAATCCCAGGATGGTGGTGATTAAAAATAAAAGTCCAGGTAAGTACAATGTGGATATTCCATTTATCATTCTTATCTTTCCTTATATACCCCCAGAAAGTAAAGTAACTTCTAGTTAGTTAACTATAACATTTAATATGTCACAATTCAATTGAGGAGATACCTAATATGTTTTAGATTTTTAGTGGTATGTATTATTGCCAGGTGTCTCATTTATGTAAATACATATTTTCCGGATTCTGCAGGAAAAAGTAACGAAAGAAAACAAATACTCAGTGCATTCATTAGTTCCATCAGTGTTAGGTGGTTTCCACGTGCCAGGCATGGTGATGGGACTTGATTTCAGAAATCAACAAGACACACTTTGAGGGGCTGAGGCAGGCAGATCACTTGAGGTCAGGAGTTTGAGACCAGCCTGGCCAACATAGCAAAACCCCATCTACTAAAAATACAAAAATTAGCTGGTGTGGTGGCATGCACCTGTAGTCCCAGCTACTGAGGAGGCTGAGGCACAAGAATCACTTGAACCTGGAAGGCGAAGGTTGCAGTGAGCGGAGGTCATGCCACTGCACTTCAGCCTGGGCGATAGAGCAAGACTGTCTCCCGCAACAACAACAACAACAATTGTTTATTAAATTTTAAAGAAACATTTTTTTATTAAATAAAAATAATAAATCAACGAGATAAACCCAGTCTCTTATCTCAAGCAGTTTAGTCATATACAAAATACAGTCAACTGACTCAGTGAGAAAGCTTGGGCTGGAGGTAACAGAATGGCTAACTCAAACTGGCCGAAGCAATAGGAAATGTATTAGCTCTCACAGAAGGTGGTTAAGGATAAGGCTGGGCTCCAAGTTTGCTCAGTCCAGTGACCTAGTTTTGCCATCAGAGAACCAGTTCTTTCTATCTCTACCCTTGCTTTGTAACCCACAGGGTCAGCCTGATTCTAAGGCTGGTTCCCTCGTCGTCATGGCACAGCTGTCCATGGAAACTTGGGCTCATGCTCGCTTGTTAATTTGGGAGGTATAAGGACTTCTTGCGGCTCTCTTAAGATTAAGGAAGAACTTTTCCACACATCTCCAGCAAACCTCTCCTTATATTTCATTGGCCAGAACTGACAAAATCTATTCCTGATCTGCCCATTCCTGACAAAATCATTGGGAAAAGAATAAGACTATCCTAGGCAATCAGGCCTACACCTGAAACAGAGGGTAGGGACCGGCTTTCCCTAAGGCCTGTGTGTGAGAAGCAGAGATAGATACCTGAAACAACAACAGCAAAACAGTCCTCTGCTAGAGAGAAAGAAAACAGAAAAGGTGTCCTCAGAGGAAACAGTGTCCATCACAACCATACAATGAGCAAATGACAGTGAGTATGTGTACAATTCGAGAGAGTGTGAGTGAAGAATGACATCTTTGCAATTTTCTTTTTAACGTTCCATAGGATCAGAGCGGCACTGAACCTGTTAGTAGTGAGGAAGATGGCAGCCTCGAAGTTGGTATTAAACAATTGCCTGAAAGTGAAAGCTTCAAACTGGTGAGAATCTTGAGTATTTTTCATCCTGTGTTCTGTTTAGGAATGTATCACTTATATTTTGTACCACCTTGGAAAGAACCACCTATCATGTTTGCTTCTCTCAGGAATCTTGGTCTCTGACACGAGAAGCTATTTTATGTAGTGAGTGACCCATTGACTCTGAAAAAGAACATCTTCTCTTACCTTGTGAACACCTGATTTGTGCTGTCTGAGATTAAGGAAGGAAGCTCTCCCTTTTTTTTTTTTTTGAGCCGAAGCCTCACTCTGTCACCCAGGCTGGAGCACAGTGGCTGGAGCACAGTGGTGCAATGATCTCGGCTCACTGCAACCTCTGCCTCCCAGGTTCAAGCGATTCTCTTGCCTCAGCCTCCTGAGTAGCTGGGACTACAGGTACATACCACCATGCCCAGCTAATTTTTATATTTTTAGCAGAGATGGGGTTTCGCCATGTTGGCCAGGCTGGTCTCGAACTCCTGACCTCAGATGATCCACCTGCCTCAGCCTCCCAAAGTGCTGGGATTACAGGTATGAGCCACTGTGCCTGGCCTGCAATTTCTCCTTTATATCTGGCTTAATATTGGATTTTTATAAGGCCAGAGCTGTGCTTAATTAGTCCTGGAGGCACAAGAAAAAAATGTTAAATTTATTCCATCAATTCCAAGCAAAGATACTTAAACTTACCCAGGGGCTAGGGTACATCCTTATGTACCCTAATTTTTGGTATTTTATTATTTAATAGTTATCGAACATTTGTTGCATATCAGACACTGTACTGTGTTCTGCATGCATTTCCTGTTCTTTGATTTTCCTACACATGAGGAAACTGAGAGTTAGAGAAGTTAACTAACTTGCCAAAGGCCCCCAGCCAGTATGTAATAGGCTGGGAGATGGCTCCCCTACCCTCTGACTCCCATGCCTTGGGTCATCATCTGCTTTTCTGTTTTGTAGCCCAGCACTTCCAGGGTTAGACTACACATTCTAGAAAGAAATGTAGGCTTTTTCCCCTCTGTGTTTAAAAATGCCCTACAAATCTCAAAGAATTAATCACTTAGGAGTGTCATCTAACTCTGATTTTATGACAGCTCAGAGTTTTTAATTTTGCTTCAGGGCATTTGAGAAATCATCCATTTATACTCTTTCAGGTTTTGGAAAATATATATTGCGACTGCTACAGATTGCATGTCCTAGAAAGTGAGCTTATTCTGGTGGAAGGGAAAGGACGTTTCAGCAGGAGTGGAAATTGGAATGGGCCACTCATGAATAAACCCTCCGTGGGACCTGAGACCCCTGGCATTAAAATAGCAGCAGTTTATTTATCAGAGATTGACTAAAAAAAAAAAAAAAAAAAGGCCAGCACAGTGGCTCACGCCTGTAATCCCTGCACTTTGGGAGGCCGAGGCGGGCAGATCACCTGAGGTGGGAGTTGGAGACTAGCCTGACCAACATGGAGAAACCCCATCTCTACTAAAAATACAAAGTTAGCCGGGCGCGGTAGCACATGACTCTAATCCCAGCTACTTGGGAGGCTGAGGCAGGAGGATCGCTTGAACCTGGGAGGCGGAGATTGCGGTGAGCCAAGATCGCGCCATTACACTCCAGTCTGGGCAACAAGAGTGAACCTCCGCCTCAAAAAAAAAAAAAAGAATAATGGCAGTAAAAGATTATGACTTCCCTTTCCAAAAGGTAGAATGAGGTAGAATGCATTTTTGCACTAAAGGGAAATAAAGAACAGCAACAAATTTCAAACTGAAAGCCCCTTTACTTAAAAATATATTAACTTATTCTTTTTGGCACTGTATCTCCATAGTCAGGTTAGGGGAAAGTCTTTTAAAGCAACAGAATTTTGTAGGTAGGGTCCCTGATTTCATCCACAGAGGAAATGGTAAAAAGAGTGAGACTACTCTCTTGCTTCCTGGAAAAGTCTGGTAGTCCCAGCCAGGCTCATGTGCAGGCCCAAGGTAAAAGTCATCCATCATCTACTCCCAGTTCCCAAGGAAGCAACACCAGTGATAGGCTTGCAAGTGTCAAGACTTGAAGAGGCAGAGGGCCTGGAGGCCTGAGGGTCCTTTTTAGACAATGTTTCATACTGCACTTCACCAATTGCAGGCTTTCCCAAACCCATTGACTAGTGTCTGTCTTTTTCTACTCTGTTCCCTCCCTTATCCACTGTCTCTCCTCATCCTGGAGTTTCTTAATCACTGTTTTCAGTAAATCTATGCATGTTCTAGTTCAGAAAGGAAAGATAGCCTGAATTTGAACAACCTTTATGGCATAAATATAAATGGCCTGGCATAAAGTATTATTTAAGAGTGTCTGGCCGGGCACAGTGGCTCACACCTGTAATCCCAGCACTTTGGGAGGCCGAGATGGGAGGATCACCTGAGGCCGGGAGTTCAAGACCAGTCTGACCAACATGGAGAAACCCCGTCTCTACTAAAAATACAAAATTTGCCAGGCATGGTGGCGCTTGCCTGTAATCCCAGCGACCTGGGAGGCTGAGGCAGGACAATCACTTGAACCTGGGAGACGGAGGTTGCGGTGAGCTGAGATCGTGCCATTGCACTCCAGACTGGGCAACAAGAGCAAAACTCTGTCTTTAAAAAAAAAAAAAAAAAAAAAAATGTGTCTTGGAGAAGTCACTTGACCTCACCAGACCTCAGTTTCCTCAGTTGAGGAATGACAGTAATTAGGATGCTATTAGGAAACAAAGGGGCTATAAAATATAAATCATACAGAATAATATAGGGCAAATAGAGCTTAGTAAATTCATTTTATTCATCCAACAAATATTTGCCAAATACCACTATGTTCCAGGTACTGAAGATACAACAGTGAACAAAGCATACAAAAATGCCTTCCTTCATGGGCTCATTCCACAGTTGGAGGGGGAAGGAAGACAGACAGTACATCAGTTAGCAAAATGTTGGATTGAATCATATGAAATTGCCATTTTTGTAGGTAAAAATTTCATATGGTTCAACCTAACATATACATAAATGTTGTTGTCTTGTAATGAAGTATTAATTCAAGACAAACCTAGTTCAAGACCAGCCTAGGCAACATTGTGAAACCCCGTTTTTATTAAAAAAAAAAAAAAGAAGAAGAAGAAATTAGCTGAGTGTGGTAGCAAGCACCTGTAGTCTCAGCTACTCAAGAGGCTGAAGTGGGAGGATTACTTGGACCTGGGAGGTTGAGGTGGCAGTAAGCTGTGATTGTGCCACTGCACTCCAGCCTGGGTGACAGAGTGAAACCCTGTGTCAAAAAAAAATAGTTGTTTTCAGAGCTGAGGCTAAGCCGTGGCCTGTGCATACTCCAGTGCTATTTTCAGTATATTCAGTTGGTTGGCTTTTGTCTGTATCTCAGTAGCCCCAGGTGCATAGCCAAGGAGTTTATAATAATTTCAGAAGGTATTCCATTTCTCTAAAATATTTTTCAAGGGGGAAATAACTTTTTTGTAGATCAGGTGATGGTTTGTGAGACATAGATTCTGATTGTGAGAGACTGGAGGCAGGGAAGTGTCTGGTATCTATTTCAGAAGTGTAGATGAGAGCCTGTTAGAAGCCTTTTGAAAAGAACTTGAATGAAAGATTTTAATCTTTTCGATATAAACTTATGTGTTTATAATGTTCAGAATATCTATGTTTATATAGTATACTCTTTTGAAGCAGTATAATTAAATTAGTAAGAGTACAATCATTAGAGTTAGACTACTTGGGTTCAAATCCTGGTTCCGCTATTTGCTAACAATTATGACCTTAGAGAAATGACGTAACCTTTCTCTGTGATTCAGTTTATGCCTCTGTAAAATGGGAGGAAAAATTAAAGGAGTTGATAACAGAAAACTACTACTTAGAACCATACCAGAGTGCGCTGTAGTCACTGTCAAAGAGTGAGTTGTTGTTAATGAGGATGATGCTATCATTCTGATGAAAGCATTAAGGGGTAGCCATAGAAGGAACAACTATTCCAAGTGAAACATTAAGGTATCACTTGAAAAACTGAAGTGAATTTTTCAACCTGAAAAGCACAATTGCTAATGTATTAGGGTTCTCCGAAGAGACAGAACCGATAGGATATATGGATATCTGAGAAGAGATTTATTAAGGGTATCGTCTCATGTGTTTATGGAGCCTCAGAGGTCCCACAATAGGCTGTCTGCAAACTGGAGAACCAGGGAATCCAGGAGCATGATTCAATTCAAGTCTGAAGACCTGAGAACCAGGGGGCTGCTGGTAGAAGTTCTCCAATCCAAAGACTGGAGAACATGGAGCTCTGATGTCCAGGGGCAGGAGAAAATGGGGTCCCAGCTTCAGAAAAGAGAGTGAATTCACCTTTCCTCTGCCTTTTTGTTCTACCTGGCCCTCCACCAATTGGATGGTGCCTGCCCAAACTGGATGAGGGTGGGTCTTCTTGCTTGGTCCACTGGTTCAAATGCCTGTCATTTCTGGAAACACCCTTCCAGACACACCCAGAAATAGTGTTTTAGCAGCTAGCTAGATATCCCTTAATCCACTCAGATGGATACCTGAAGTTCACCATCATAGTTAATATATTATTCTAAACTCTTGAACACATGCTAACTTATTCACATAACAATAGTAGTTATATAGTAGTATCATCTCCATGTAGGAGATGAAGCACTGAAACGTTAAATAAATTGCCTTGGAGCCAAGCAGCGGGCTCCAGTTTGTAATCCCAGCTACTTAGGAGGCTAAAGTGGGAGGATTAATTGAGGCCAGGAGTTTGAGGCTGCAGTGAGCTATGACCATGCCCCTGCACCCCAGCCTGGGTCACAGAGTAAGACCTTATCTCAAAAAAAAAGTTGTGACCGAGGCGGGTGGATCACCTGAGGTCAGGAGTTTGAGACCAGCCTGGCCAACATGGCGAAAAACCATCCCTACTAAAAATACAAAAATTGGCTGGGCGTGGTATTGGGTGCCTATAATCTCAGCTACTTGGGAAGCTGAGGCAGGAGAATCACTTGAACCCCAGAGGCGGAG